GTCCCCTGCTGTCAGGGCACCACACCCTGCACGGTTCAGGTCGGATGCATCAGCCACTGCAGTGGAGGCCTGGGACTGTGCCCTGACAAGGTCCCTTTTCACCCTGACCTTCTCCAGTGGCCTGGTGCCCTGTCCCCCAACCCCCACCCACCAGCACTCTGTGCTACCCAAGGCACTAGGCCTTCCTCACACACCCTTTGTGTGTTAAAATGTAGCTTTTGTTATTATTAGGTATGAGGAGAACAGCTGTCAGGAGGTGACTCCCCCTTGAAAGGATGGTTTCTGGCTCATAGTTCCCAAGGAAAGGGGGTGTGCTACACCATGGGGGCCACACACAGGGGGACTCAGGGCCAGTCAGGAGGCAGAGGGAGGGTCAGCTCTGGGGGAGGAAATGGCCAAGATGGGGCAGGCAGCTGGAGACTGGCTGGTTAGGATAATTTCAGGGCTCTGGGGCGCACTGTGGTTTCGTTGTCTAGTCCCCAGACCTGGGGCTTCTGGGGCAGGTGGGTAGTGACTACAGAAGGGGAAAGCCCCTTGAGAGAGGTGACTGGGAGGGGGGCTCTTGGTTTGCACATCAAGGGGCACTCCCAGGGGAGTTTAGATGCTCCTTAGTCCCTGGGAGTGGTAGCCCTGGAAGGGGCCGTCCCTCTAGGGTCAGCAGAGTCCCAGATGCCAAAGAAATAAAAGACGCCATTAGAACACTTGGTTCTGTCTCTCTCCTTCCCAAGAACTGCCGTGTCTTTCATGGTTATGACACTGGCATTCCTGTCTCTGCCCCTTCTGGTCACTGCTGTGGGGTCCAGCCTCAACCTGCGTGCTATACTCTTTCCCCCAGGAACTCTCATGACGGGGGTGGGGGGTTCTCAGCAAAGCTGTGCTTCTCAGGGTTTCCCATCAGTCCTGCAAAAGCAACACCCAGAGTGTGTTTTTTTTCCCTTTTTATTTCAGGTTAATGTGAGGGCACAAACAGCCAGGTCATAATTTTGAATTTGTTAAGTAGAAGCCCTCTTGTAGTTGTGTCCCACACCCCAAAGGTGTGCCACACACCCCTACCTTGTGCACATTAGTCCTCCCGTTGGCTCCCCCTCTCCCATTCCCCCGTCTCTCAACTTGAATCCAATTAAGTTTTCCTCCTATGTGGGAGTGTGTTAGTTTGTCTACTGGCTTCATAATAAAATTGAGTACATTGGATATTTGCTTTTCCCTTCTCGTGATACTTTACTAAGGGGAATGTATTTCAACTCCATCCAGGTTAATACAGAAGATGTGAAGCCTTCGTCTTTTCTTAGGGCTGAATAGTATTCCATGGTACACACAGACCACAGCTCGGTAATCCGCTCCTGGGGTGGTTTCCACAGCTTGGCGATTGTAAATTAAGCTGCGATAAACATTCTAGTGCAAATGTCTTTCTGATAAAATGACTTTTTTCTTCTAGGTAGATGCCTAGTGGTGGGGTTATGGGGTCAATGGGAGATCTGATTTGAGACCTTTGAGGACTCCCAGGAGTGGACTCTAATGTCCCCTGCCTGCTCTCTGGCTGACCAAGGCTTATCTTTAGTCTCTGACCTACTGAGTGAGAACAATTTGGGGTGGAAGTGGTGAGGCCCCCTCAGGTGATACTAGGCACACCACTCCACCCCCAGAAGTGCCTGGAAAAGAAATTCCTGTTTCTTCCTTTAACATTCACTTAAATGCTGCCTCTCCAAGTTCCAGATGCAACCTCTGGAAAGACCGTCTAGCCCATCTGGGTCGTTTTTGCCCCTTTCCTGTCTCTGATTTTATGGGCTCAGTGTAAAGTTGTGCGGTCTGTATTGCGCTGTGCTCCTGGGGCTGAGTGCCTGTGTGCTGTCCGTCAGTGTGCGAGCCTCTCCGGCACCTCTGAGAACAGTCAGTAAGCAGGGCAGGCGTGTAGGGTCAGCAGCCCTGAGACTGCTCCAAGGCAGCGTAAGGAACATCAGGTGGGCTGGCGGAGACCCGAGCCTCCCTCCGATCGGTTCTCAACTGACTCGCCACTCACTGTCCGTGGAGTGGGGACGTTCCCAGACCTGGCCTTGAACTTCGTAAACTCAGAAAGCTCCTTGGTGGGATGGTAATGGTCTGTCCCTCCCTTGGTGGGAGAATTCACTTACTAACCTTTGGTTTTCCAGTTAGATCCTTCTCCACTGGGGTTCCAGTGTGTCCTGTGAATATCACCAGATGATTTTCAGACTCGATCCTTTTAGAATTGAATGGAGATTGCCAAAAATGTTTAGAATTTCCTTTTTGCCGTACCCAGCTCTGACTTGCTTTTTTCTTCCTTCTCACTGAACGAACTACTTCGCATAAACAACAACAAGAAGCAGAATCATCTGTGTTGATAGCTGCTTGTTTTGTGGAGAGGGTATGGCCAGGAATCTTCTCCCACCACCCACCTCCTGTTTTGGCTTCAGGCTCCCATTTCTCCCAGATGAATCCGTCAGCTCCAGGTGATTTGGTGGCCTGGTTAATGTAGAAATGGCCCAGGCAAACTACTAGAAAAAGAAAATACAGCAGTTAGGGCATAGAGACCTCCCAGGGCCCGTGTTGTCTCCAGTGGGTGTTTATGGAAGGTTTGTGTTTACAGCCCTCCCCGAGGGCAGAGCTAGAAGAAAGTGGCTTAAATTGCAGGGAGCGTTTACAGCCCAAGTTCATCTGTCCTGGGTGGTAAAGCGCCTCTCGGCCTGGTAGGAAATAGAGAATCTCAGGGGACAGTCAAGTTCCCTGCTAGCAACCTGATTTTACTATGGCTTTTTCTTTTTTTGCTTTTATTTCTGTGTGTTATCTCTCAAATACCAATTTGTCTGGTCTCCTGCTTACCCAAATAAAACAGGCTCTGTATCCAGGCCACACAGCAATTCATATACCTATTAAAGCTGGGATTTGCATTTGCAAGTAAGCAGCCTCTGTGCTTCCTACGCTGCGCAAAACTCAATCCATTTCTCCTGGATGTTTACTGTGGATGTTAGATATCAACCTGAATCTGGCCGGTCGTGGAGGAAATATACCTGTGGCTAAGCACGAACTAATTTTCTTTCTTTTCTTTTTTTTCCTCCCAGGATTATACCTTAACCATGTATTTTCAACAATATTGGAGAGATAAAAGGCTCGCCTATTCTGGGATCCCTCTCAACCTCACGCTTGACAATCGAGTGGCTGACCAGCTATGGGTCCCCGACACATATTTCTTAAATGACAAAAAGTCGTTTGTGCATGGAGTGACAGTGAAAAACCGTATGATCCGCCTGCACCCTGACGGGACCGTGCTGTACGGGCTCAGGTCTGTGGGCCTCTCAGGGCCAGTTCTGCGGTTGCATGGGGCGTTGTGTTGACTTCCTCACTTGAGGTGGACGCAGTGAGGCCGTGTCCTCAGATTTGTTAGGCAGCATCCATGAAACACTTTGAGCTTTGGAGGAAGGAAACAAAAATCTCATAGCCATGAGATTTGGGGCATTACAGTTACTATAAATAGTCACCATGCAGTTGAAAACCAGCCTCCTTCAGATTCATTGTGTATAATTGTGTTGCCACATCTAAGAACACAGATTCCCTCAGGACGGACTTCCCGCTTCATAGCCCCAGAGGCCTGTAATAAATAGCGCCCTGACAGGGCAGCGGCTTTAATAAATTTTTTTCAGAGCTTTCTGCACAGTTGAAAAAATGTCTGCTGTACGCATCCTGGGAGCGTCACTGAGACGGGGCCTGGAGTGTTTATGGGGATGAATGAGTAGGCCTCCTGTGAGGTGTGCTTCTCTCCAGGTCCCATAATGTCATTCAAATTGGGAAACCAGGCTTCCTTCCTGAGCCCTGGGGAAGAGGACCTGGGTTTTCCTGGTTGCTCTGGAAACCACCATACCTTTCCATGGTGTTCTCTCACTGCTGCTGTTTAATTATTTTGCATATTATCTTGCTAAATGATGTTCTTAAAACCTGTCTCTATCAGCCTTGGGTTGATTTTGCTCAGATTTCTTTTTTTTTTCTGTCTTAGTCTGTCACCTGGGTAGAGTGTTGTGGCGTCATGGTCCACAGCAGACCTCAAACTCCGGGGCTCAAGAGACCCCCTTATTTCAGCCTCTCAAGTAGGTGGGACTACAGGCACCTGCCACCACACCCGGCTAATGTTCCACTGATTTTTGTTTTGCTTTAGAATAGTGTGTGTGTATTTCTTTCTTGATCTCCTGGCCTAAAAGTGTCCTTGAGGCCTTCAGTGGTGGCTCACATTGCTCATGAGGGCATATGTGGACAGCCATGAGAAAAGATGATTCTTACTGTGAGTCCAGAGGCTTTGAATTCAGACTCAACAGTTCTAAATGGAATCATAATAGTATACATTTAAATTCACTCTCCTGGCAGTTTCCATGTCTCAAGATGGGTAAAGGGAATTATTTAACATTGACTTAAAATAAAAAATGTTGACTTTCTCCAATCCACAACATATAAAAGCAGATGTTGGGATTTAAGCAGAGTCAGATGTTTTTAATGGTAAGTGGCACATGTCAACCACACCATGGTGTCACTTTAGGAAGAGTGTAGCCTGAGGTTTCTTTGGGAGGTTTCCAACATTTTTTGTTTTGGGCTGAAAATGAGAGATGGGGTTATAATATTTTGGGGTTCTGACAAGCACATCAGCTGTACAGAGGATTATTCCGAAACCTTGTGAACACAGAATAAGGAGGCATTTGTCTGCCCCCAGCTCCCACACACAGAGAAAACCAAAGCAGAAAAATGAATATGTGACGGATGGTGTGTATGTGGGCGTGTGGCGTGTGTGTTGGGTCTGTTGTGTGGTGTGTGTAGTGTGTGTAATGTGTGTATTTGTGTGCTGTGTGGATGTGGTGTGTCACCTGCTGGTAACGTGCCTGGCACGTGTGTGCTGTGGCTGGTATGGTGCCCGTGTGTGTTGGATTTGGTGTGTGTGGGGCTGTGTGGTGTGTGAGTGGTTGGAGGAGAGCAAAAAGATGGTTTTCTCCATTTGTATTTTTATGACTTCATCTTCTTACCGGAAGCAAAGTGTGTTATTATGTCTTAGTTAAAAGCAAAGCACTTAAACTCTGTTAGAATGGAATTCTATAATATGCATAAAATATCTGTAATGAATTTCCACTTTCTTTGAAAGTGTTAGATTTCAGGTAAGAGAAAGAGAAACCAAGGGAATAAAAATATTATACCTTTAACACTTGGCCTGTAAGTTTATATGTAAAAGTTAAATAAGGATGTGAGAATAATGGGAAGCTTTTAGTAATAAACTTGGCACAATCTAACGATCTCTCTTTAGTAAAACCTATGTTTAGTATGCCTCTCATACAGCTTTTAAAGCAACAAATGAATTTCTGAATAAGTAGCTGTTTTTCTTCAAATGTAGCCTCAATATGCTTCTTAGATCTTTATTTAGAACCTCATGTATTTTAAAAAATTCTTCAGATTTCTGAGGACCTGGACAAGCTATCATAAAGAACATTTCTCACTACAGGCCGACCATCAGATTCTGTGTGTGCTTGGCAGCTCCACTGGGTCATTTGACTCCTTAGAAATTGGCTAATCTAGAAACTTCTGACTTGATTTTTAAAATCACTTGTAGCTGTAGAGATTGAATTGAACTTTTGGACAAAAGGCACATTAGTAATTCAAAACACTGATCATTGTACAAAACTCAAATACACACGTCTTCTTTGCTAATCCAGTGTATATTTGATAAATATCCATGTGAGGTGAGATGTGCTCACGTGGGTGGCCCTCTGTCCTCTCAGTGGCCCCAGGACCCACCTTCCTCCCTCTGCCATTTTACTGTTGAACTTGAAAGGAAGAGCCAGGAGCACACAGCATATGTAACTCTGTCAGGGGTGTCCAACCTGCAGCCTGTGGGCCACATGAGGATTTTACAAGGACTTTAATGTGTGGTCCAAGATACCTCTTCTTTTTTCAATATGTGGTAGAGGAAAAAATGTTTGGACACCCCTGCACATCATGTCTGGGGGTCACGCCTGGCACAGCTGCGAACTCTGAAGTTAGGCTGCCCTGAGGAGAGTGTTAGACAACTGGGCTATCACGGCTGCCCTGTCTGCAGGGCACTGCCAAGGGAGGTCCCCACCCCGCAGGGATGACCTTCTCACTGCCTGTGTGCTTGAGATATTTCTGGTTGAACTAGCTGTCTCTCCAGACCTCAAAAAAATGAATTTTCCTTCCCCCACGCCCAGGATGGGTCCCCACCCCTTGGTCTGGCAGTAGCCTGCTCCAGTGGGTGGTAGGTGGGCCACCACTTAGCTCTGTATTCTGCTTGTCTTTTGCATATGCCTGGCCGTCACAGCCACAGTGGCAGTGAGGACTCGTGCTTGATCTAGGCTGGATGAAAGCCCTGGCCTTGACTACAGATGCACAGTCCCTGACGTGAGTCTGTACGTCAGCTCAGCCTTATTCTGGGAAATCTTTAATCCTTACCTCTGATGACTCGGCAAAAGAGGCAATGGCCACTCGTGCGGATGCTTGAGAGGGATCACATTCTTGCAGCCATAAAAGGTTGTTTTAAATCATGAACCATTTCCTTTGTGACTGCTGGAGCCTGAAACTTGGGCTAAGGCTACCCTGGCTGTGAGCTCAGCTGAACGAAGTGGACTGAACCCCCTGCAGAGGCCAGGGCAGCAGGCGGTGGAGGAGAATGCCATGGGCAGGGCATGAGCACTATCCTGAAATAAAGCACGAGTTCTTTGAAAATTTCCTTTGGGCAGCTAAACCTTTTAAGAAACAAGGAAGATACCGGCTGAGAGACTCGTGGGCTTTAGTCCTGTCCTGGTTACAGATGTCCTGTTGTTTTCTTTCTGATGCTGTCTGTAAGAAGGTGAAGTCATCACCCTTCTTCCCCACTGTGTTTCTCAATCTCCTGGTCCTCCTCTGCCAGAATGTCTCCCCTTTCATCATTCAGGACACTTTGGAGTATGATTTTTTCTTCACGCCTTGCATTTCCCATTTTTGGACTATTTCTCTGATGCTGAGAATTGGTGAGAGGGGTCACAAAATAGCATTTGATTTGTTCTCACAAGCACCTGGGTGTCTGAGGTTGAGTCATCAGAACACAGTAATCCACATCTCGCCTGAGAAGCTCACTACAAATCTGGTGGACAATATATTGCAAGTTCTGCCTTGTGGCTCAAAAGTGCTTAAAATCATCAAAGCAGCCATTTCTAATGCTTAAAAGATTGAACACAATATAAAGCTAGAACTTACATCAGAACATTCAGATAAGGCCAGCATCTGGTTCTGAAACTGTGTTCTTGTTCTGAACATGGTTCTGGGTCAGAAGCTTTTCCCCCCAGAAAAGATGGAAACTCACAGAGGTGTGAGTGCAGGTGCCCAGCTGTAGTACCTTTGTTTTGTTACTCTCTTCCAATTGCTATAATGAAACCAAATAACATATTGATAAATTGCTTTCTTGACAAAAAAGATTATGCCAATTCACACTCCCCTCAACCGTAAAGTATTAGTATACCTTATCTTTAGGATTGCAATACCTGCTTTGAATTTGGTATTCCTTAGGCCACTGTAAATAATCTATCCATTCTCTTCATCTCTCAAGGTTGGTGAAAATCACCAGTCTCACTTTGAACCCAGGGTCAGACCTTCCTCTGCGCCCATCCCTGCCCCAGCAGCACTGCATCCCTCCCTTCCTGGCTTTGAACCCAGGATCAGACCTTCCTCTGCGCCCATCCCTGCCCCAGCAGTACTGTGTCCCTCCCTCCTTCTAAGGGCGATCTCGGCTTCTCTTCAGACTCTCCCCTGCGCTCTCATTTGACGAGCTTAATCAAAACAGTGACTTCTTCATCTTTCCATTGAACAGAGACCACCTGAGCTGGTTGTTCACCCCCCCCCCACACCGTGGAGACAGGGTCCCTGGCCATTTTGAGCGTCAGTTTCCCCTTGTTGTCCTGCCAGAAAGTGAGTTCTAGCCAGTCCCTTTCTACAGCACCCCTACTGTGCGCCCAAGCTTGCAGACTCCCCTTCCTCTCTTCAGAGACAGTGGGGATGTCCCCGTCGTAGGGTCTTTGCTGGACACTGTAGTCTAGATGCTCATAAATGTTTTAACATCATCATAACGTACTTGGGGAATGTTCAGCGTTCAATTTCCCAGGGAAACCCCTTCTCTGATCATCTATTCACTTTCTATTACATCACCTTGTTTGATTTTTAACATAGTGCTTACCCAGATATGACCTCATCTTGCCAATTTCTTGCATTTCTCATTGACTCTCTGTCCCATCTGTGATGATGGGGAAGCCATGGCCAGAGCAT